TTCAACCACACATTTTTCAATAAAATAATATTTTCCATCACATCAATAATCTTATCTTCTTTTTCAACCACACATTTCCCATCATATCACTATTCAAAATCAATTCTTCCCCCAAAAAATCCCTACCAAACAAGCTCTTAAATATAAACTAGGCAAATGTGCATTGCACGTTGCTTACACCTAGTATAGTTGAAATGTTGATAAAAATCGTAAGTTTCATTAAATACGCGATTAAATATAAGTTTAAACAAATTAGATTTATAATATTAAGTCCTTGTTTGGTGGAAATTAAAATAAAATTTTTAATAAATTTTGATAAAAAGTTGATGAAATGTGTGCTTGAAAAATTATGGGTCATATGAAATATGTGATTAAAATTTAGATTTTAATCCCTATGAAACAGAGATTAAATATATGTGCCAAACAGGTGCTACATAAATATATAAATACTATGTAATTCAAAAGTTGAAAATATCAGAGAAAAATCTGTAGTGTCCCACTAAATTTTTCAAAATATTATTACATCAATTTTTGTTAATGAAAGGAAAGAGATTATTTCAAAGGGAATATTACTTTTTTGATAAATTTAATAGGAAACAACGTAATTGGGACAGCATATTTTTCAAAGAGATAGCGTAATTGTCATGCTTTTTGTAACTTTTTCAAAACCATTGACTCTCTCTCTCAAATCTCTCTCTACAATATGCTTCCCCCTCTCTCTCCCAAGAAATCCAAGACAATGGAACTCAACAACAATTTGCGCTCTGTCAAATCTCACATTTCTTTGAATCATTGTGCATGGCTTTGTATAACAATTCTTTTACAAGTTTTGATTATAGTTTACCTCAACCGTGCTTCGCCGGCGCCGCCGTCTCTATCCTCCATCCGCCACCAGTTTCAGGCTCCTGCTCCAGATGATCAAACCTGCAAATATGGAAGAATATACGCATATAACCTTCCAGTTGCTCTCAACAAAGAGCTTTTAGAAAATTGCAGGGATTTAGACCCCTGGAGTTCCCGTTGCAACGCCGTGTCCAACGGTGGTTTCGGGCCGAGAGCCACCGGCCTCGACGGGGTTGTGCCGAAGAATCTTTCCCCAGCCTGGTACTGGACAGATATGTACGCTGCTGAAGTGATTTATCATGACAGAATGTTGAATTACAAGTGTAGAACCCTAAATCAAGAAGAGGCTACAGCTTATTACATTCCTTTTTACGTTGGACTTTCTGTAGGGAAGTATTTGTGGTTCAATTATACATGAAAAGATAGAGATCAACACAGCGTGATGATGCTCGATTGGGTTAAAAATCAGCCTCCCTGGATTAGCAGCAACGGTTCAGATCATTTCATCATGCGGGGGAGATTAACGTGGGATTTTCGAAGATTGACAGATAGTGACACTGAATGGGGAACAAGTTTCATTTACATGCCTTTGATGAAAAAAGTTTTACGTTTATCAGTCGAAAGAAGTCAATGGGATCCTTTGGAAATCAGTGTTCCTTATCCCACTGCATTCCACCCTCGATCCGATTCCGATATAGTTCAATGGCAAGAGACTATTCGAGCAAGAAAACGAACAAGCCTTTTCTGTTTTGTGGGCGCTACGCGTAAAAAGATCAAAAATGATTTTCGTGGGGTACTATTGAGTTATTGTAAGAACGAAACGGGCTCGTGTAGGGTGGTAGACTGCTCGATAACGCCTTGTTACGACGGTGCACCCTCGATTCTTGAAGCGTTTTTGGATTCGGATTTTTGCTTACAGCCTAAAGGGGATGGTTTTACTAGAAGATCTATGTTTGATTGTATGCTGGCGGGTTCGATCCCGGTTTATTTTTGGAGAGGAAGTTTTGAAAATCAGTATGAATGGCATATGCCTTTAGAAGCACAAACTTATTCAGTGTTCATAGACCATAATGATGTGAGAAAAGGAGCTTCTATTAGAAGAGTTTTGGTGGGTTATAGTAGAGAAAAAGTTAGAAAAATGAGAGAGAAAATAATTGATTTTTTGCCTAAGTTTTTGTATGGAAGATCTGATTCTAATTTAGGGAATTTCACGGACGCGTTCGATATTTCTATGGACGGAGTTTTGAGAAGGTTTAAGCAGGAAAAGGCAACAAAGAGACGGACAAATCAGGTAATTAAACATCTTACATTAGGAAGAAGAAGAAGAAGAAGAAATTGATTATTTTTGAAATTTAATTATTTTTTTGTATATATATATATATAGTTGTGGAAAAGTGTTGTTGATTTTGATGCATACAATTGGTAAGATGCAATAATCTCGAGTAGTATGGATTTCAATGAATTAAAGACTATTATTTCAATGCCGTTTGCTTAAGATATAGATTGTGTAGTTTTCACTTTTATTTATGCTTTTCTTCACGATAAGGTCTTGTGGAGATAACATTCAAAAAATTTGAGAAAAAAAAAACAAAATCTATACGTATTGCATAGGCGCTAAGGAAAAAAATAAATAAAATAAGTAAAATCAACAAAATTATATTTTTCTTTTTTATTTTATTGTCAATTTTTTAAAACTATTTTTATGAAGACCATGTTTGTTTCAGATTGAAATCAAATTTTAATTTAAGTTAAAACCAAACAATCAATATTGACCACATCTTTCATGGGTCTCACAACTTTTCAACCACACATTTCAAAAACTTCTATCACAATTTACTAAAAATTTAATTTTAATCCCTACTAAACACTCACTAAGTCTCATTCAATTTATTTAACATTGATAACATTTTAAGCGTGATCTCCTTTTTTTTAATGCACATTGTACATGGAAAGAAAAGGTGGTCTTCCATTTAAGTGATAATGGGAATGGCAACTCCACTAGAAAAAATTGTAGCAATGGTACCTAATTTAATTTCTGAGAAGGAAATTGATCCTCGACCTTTATTATACTTGCAAAATAAGCAGTCTTCTATAAAGTGATAAGTGTAATTTTTACAC